AAGAGTTTTCAAAACCTTAACCCTTAAGGACTTAAACTTAATAAAGAATCGACATCTTCATTTTGTATAACAAAGCAACATTAAAATCGTCGAGACTATCAACATCCAAACTGTCATTTTGCTTAGAATTTAAAACCACCTCATACTTCACCTAACTACACTGTGTTTCAAACCCTAACACACCTAAAATATTCTAGTATTACATGATTGACCTCCCTCGAGGGATTTGGAACATGCTAATACAGATTGTTCAAATGGTGTTATTTACCAATTATTATTATTTGTAATGTATCCTTTTTACATTCAACTTAATATTGCATTCTCTTAATCTTTTTGGAATGCTAGCTATATATTAAAAAATAGAAGCTAGATAGAAACTAGTAAAGAACAAATACAAATTAATGGAGAATTAGATGTTGGGTCCAAACATGCAAATTCTTTTAAGTCTAAGTGTTTTTATAAGAAACCCAATTAAAAGAAAATGCAACAATATTATCAAAAATAAAATCCTTTCGATACGTATTCTAACGGAAGAGAAGCATGTTATTATATGACCAACGAACCTACATAACTATAAAGAAAATTTAATCAAGCATGACTCGCTCCAAACTCACGATAGGCCTACTATCGATCCATTGAATCATATCTAAAGTCAAAGAAAATACATGTATGTCAATATCCACCTACAAAGCGGGCTGCTTCCAAATTTGTAAGGCTAACGAACATCTAAGAAAAGGTGTGTACATCTACCATATCTTCTCCACAAACATGACATATGACTGAATCAAGATCTCTTATCTAGGTTACTCCTCGTAGGAAGACTATCTAGTAAACCACACGCCAAATAAAAACATTAGTATTGATAGGAATATAATTATTCCATTGAGTAATAATACCACCAACATGAAGATGAATATCATCAATATGACAACAAGCATATCACAACAAAAAACCTCCATATGAATTAAGATTCGAACCTTAACCATCATGTATTGAATGAATGAAAACCATATCAATCATCACCATGAGCTATGCTAATTGCAAAAATCCTACACCACCTCTGATTGAACGTTTCCACGAGAGACTCCAACCATGTTGGGACCATAACTCCAACATGAAACCCTCCCGAAGAGAAGAAACTACATACATGTGAGGAAATTTAGATCTAAAAGAAGAAGACACATACAAAATATCAAGCGAAACCATTGTGTCAGCCCCATCCCCATCACTAGACACCCGATGCATAACTCACACATTAATAACACCAGTATCATAAAGTTTATTGATAGAACCAACTACATAGGACCGAACCCCACAACCACCTACATGTCAAACCCGGATGAAAACCAACCCAACCCTCGTACCATAAAGAGCTTTCAAAACCTTAACCCTTAAGGAGTTAAACTTATTAAGAATTGACATCTTTATTTCGTATAACAAAGCAACATTAAAATCATCGAGACTACCAACATCCAAAATGCCATTCTGCTTATAATTTAAAACCACCTCATACTTCACCTAACTCCACTGTGTTTCAAACCCCGACACACCTAAAATATTTCTAGTGTTACACGTTTGACCTCCCTTGAGGGATTTGGAACAGATTAATACAGACTTTTCAAATAGTGTTATTTACCAAATTTTAGTATATGTAATGTATCATTTTACATTTAAATTAGTAATGCATTCTATTAATTTTTTGGAGTGATAGCTATATATTAAAAAAACGGAAGCTAGCTAGAAACTAGTAAAGAACAAATACAAATTAATGCAGAATTAGATGTTGGGTCCAAACATGCAAATTCTTTTAAGTATTAGCGTTTCTATAAGAAACCCAATTAAAAGAAAACACAACAATATTATCAAAAATAAAATGCTTTCGATACGTATTCTAACAGAAGAGAAGCGTATTATTATATGTCCAACGAACCCATATAACTATCAAGAAAATTGAATCAAGCATGACACACTCCATACTCACGATAGGCCAACCATCGATCCATTGAATCATATCTAAAGTCGAAGAAAACACATGTATGTTAATATCCACCTACAAAGTGACCTGATTCCAAATTTGTAAGGCTAATGAACATCTGAGAAAAGGTGTGTACATCTACCATATCCTCTCTACAAATAGGACATCTAACTGAATCAACATCTCTTATCTAGGTTACTCCTCGTAGAAGACGATCTAGTAAACCACACGCTAAATAAAAACATCAGTATTGATAGGAATATAATTATTCCATCGAGTAATAATACCACCAACGGGAAGATGAATATCATCAATATGACAACGATGTTATCACACCAAAAAACCTCCATACGAATTAAGATTCGAACCATATGAATTAAGATTCGAACCTTAACCATATCAATCATCACCATGAGCTATGCTAATTGCAAAAATCCTACACCACCTCTGATTGAACGTTTCCATGAGAGACTCCAACCATATTGGGACCATAACTCCAAAACGAAACCCTCCCGAAGAGAAGAAACTGCATACATGTGAGGAAATTTAGATCTAAAAGAAGAAGACACAGGACACCTGATGCATAGCTCACACATGAATAACACCACTATCATAAAGTTGAATGATAGAACCAACTATAAAGGACCAAACCCCACAACCACCTACATGCCGAGAACCCGAATGAAGACCAACCCCACCCTTGTACCATAAAGAGTTTTCAAAACCTTAACCCTTAAGGAGTTAAACTTAATAAAGAATCGACATCTTCATTTCGTATAACAAAGCAACATTAAAATCATCGAGACTACTAACATCCAGAACACTATTCTGCTTAGAATTTAAAACCACCTCATACTTCACCTAACTCCACCATGTTTCAAACCGCGACACACCTAAAATATTTCTAGTGTTACAAGATTGACCTCCCTTGAGGGATTTGGAACAAATTAATACAGACTCTTCAAATAATGTTATTTAGCAATTTTTATTATTTGTAATGCATCATTTTACATTCAAATTAATAATGCATTCTATTAATTTTTTTTTGGAATGATAGCTATATATTAAAAAAACGGAAGCTAGCTAGAAACTAGTAAAGGACAAATACAAATTAATGCAGAATTAGATGTTGGGTCCAAACATGCAAATTCTTTTTAGTCTTAGCGTTTCTATAAGAAACCTAATTAAAAGAAACAACAACAATATTATCAAAAATAAAATGCTTTCGATGCGTATTCTAATGGAAGAGAAGCGTGTTATTATATGTCCAACGAACCTACATAAGTATCAAGAGAACTGAATCAAGCATGAATCACTCCAAACTCACGATAGGCCTACTATCGATCCATTGAATCATATCTAAAGTTGAAGAAAACACATGTATGTTAATATCCACCTACAAAGCGACCTGCTTCAAATTTTGTAAGGCTAACGAACATTTGAGAAAAGTTGTGTACATCTACCATATCCTCTCCACAAACAGGACATCTGACTGAATCAACATCTCTTATCTAGGTTACTCCTCGTAGAAGATGATCTAGTAAACCACATGCCATATAAAAACATTAGTATTTATAGGAATATAATTATTTCGTCGAGTAATAATACCACCAACAGGAAGAAGAATATTATCAATATGACAACGAACATGTCACACCAAAAATACTCCATATGAATTAAGATTTGAACTTTAACCATCATGTATTTAATGAATCAGAACCATATCAATCATCACCATGAGATCTGCTAATTGCAAAAATCCTACACCACCTCTGATTGAACGTTGCGATGAGAGACTCCAACCATGTTGAAACAATAACTCCAAAATGAAACCTTCTCGAAGAGAAGAAACTACATACGTGTGAGGAAATTTGGATCTAAAAGAAGAAGACACATACCAAATATCAAGCCAAACCCTCATGTCAGCCCCATCCCCATCACTAAACACCCGATGCATAGCTTACACATGAATAACACCACTGTCAAAAAGTTGATTGATAGAAACAACTATAAAGGACAAAACCCCACAACCACCTACATGTCGAGAACCCGAATGAAAACCAACCCCACACTCATACCATAAAGAGTTTTCAAAACCTTAACCCTTAAGGAGTTAAACTTAATAAAGAATCGGCATCTTCATTTTGTATAACAAAGCAACATTAAAATCATCGAGACTACCAACATCCAAACCATAATTCTGCTTAGAATTTAAAACCACTTCATACTTCACCAAACTTCACTGTGTTTCATCCCCCCCCCCCCCCTCCCCAAGAAAATATAGCCTTGCACGACTTGAAAGTATGACAAACTCCTTTAGGCAATCTTAACATAAACGTGTAATAAATATCAAAACTACCAAAAACCGACTTCAACAAAGTTTATTGTGACTACCAAAAACCGAGTTCGACAAAGTTAAACGACCCCTCCTGATAACATCTTAACCTTCCAATTAGAAAGTCTTTTTTGAAATCTATCATCCATGCATCAATCCCAATACTCCTATCGAGTTTTGATTGGTGGTGGTGGTGGTGGTGTGTGTTGTGTGGGGGGGGGGGGGGGGGGGAGTTTGGTTAATCCATGATTGGAAGCCTTGGATGTGACTATCGTAACAAGTTTGAGATCATCACCAAGATGAAAGTGGAAGATGATGTTGGAAGAAGTTTACGGGGTCATGGGGTTTAATAATAATAATAAAAAAAAAAAAAAATAGGACAAAATGATATTTAAAGTTTTAACAACTTGGTTGATTTAAGTTTTAACTACCTATGAATTAAACTTGAAACAAAATAAAACTATATAAATTTAGAATTGCAACAATTTTTTTCAAACCAAATACAATACAAATGTATAACGAAGGACCAAATTAATAATGTACTCTTATAAGTTATAATATATACCCATCTGGCTTTTATTTTCAATTAAAATAACCTGGGTGGTATAAAGTCTTCTTATCTACAAATATGGCGAAGGGATAAACCAGTCTTGGGAGTTTTGGACATCATCATCCTCTTTCCTGGTGACAATGGCTGCTTCTTTCAGTACCAGGTACTCTACAACCCTAATTCTCCTCTCTTTACTCGACGCATTCCATTAACATTCGATTTCTGATGTACCCGATAATCTTCTCCACTTGTTCTGTTTTAATTTCTCCAAAATATAAAACTTCCTGTTCGCTTTGAATCAGCTGCAAAAGAATTAGGGTTTGTACGATATGATTTCAACAGTGGGTTTCCCTTGATGGTTTTACCTTTTTTATTTTTCTTGTTATTAAAGATTCTGTTCTGGTAATTGAAGAAGCCATTTCGTACAGAACATTTTATGAGAAAGGTTTCTATCTATTCTCTATCAATTTCGCGAATACCAAATCCTTTGTTTTCAGTTTGAGCTATCTGTGTTATTTTCAGCTAAATTAGGGTTCTTCGAGCATGGTTTCCACTTTCTACCATGGATTTTTCTATCTTTTAGTTTAATTAATTTGGATTTTATTCTGTAGAACCCTTTTCGCATTTCACATTTCACATTTTACATTAATAACCTATGATGGATATATCTCTTGAATATTTGCTCTATGCCAATTTCTGAAACATGATATAATATCATATTTTGCTTTCTTAATGTATTTCCCATTATATGTCTGAGAGAAATCTAAATCCACTCAATGCATAGAAGATAGGGTAAAACACACACTTATACAAAAAGTTACCATTTTTTTTACCAGTTTTTGCATTATTTTACCATTCTGTTTACATAAATTGGTAACAAATACAAAAATCACTGCATAAATTGCTAAGAACTCCACTTCATTGCATAAATAAGCAACTAGCAGTAGAACATGAACCTAATTTACTTATCAATCAAAAGGGGGCGATTCATTCGCCAAATTCCATGGAATTTGGCTGGAACCGGAATTCAATTCCATTCCATTTCATGACAACCAAACGCATGACAGATTCCAATTCCATCTAAAACATTCTGAGGATCTTGAATATGAAATATATTTACTTTCTTTTTCGGCAGCCAATTGGGATCTACTTTCTTGGGCGAGAGGAATGGAATCTGTGTTTCCAGTGTTCCTGTTAGTCACCTGAGCTTTAGAAGGAAGACAGTGGAATGCAAAGAGTCAAGAATCGGAAAGCAACCGATTGAAGTCCCATCAAATGTGGTAATCACATTAGAAGGTCAAGATATGAAGGTGAAAGGGCCTTTAGGGGAACTTGCACTTTCATATCCAAGAGAAATAGCAATTGATAGGCAGGAATCAGTTCTTAAAATCAGTAAAGCAGTGGAAACAAGAAGAGCTAACCAAATGCATGGCTTATTCAGGTTATTACCCATTTTAAAATCTTTAAAATTTTCACCATTATAATTGATATTTAGGAATTAGGATATTATCATATTTAGTGTTTTTTTTTTGTACATTGCCTTCATTTTTGTTATTAACTTTTCTTAATTTTATTGGTAAATAGCATATGACACAGTAATTTTTGTCAATCAGGTGATAATTTAGGTAATAATGATTTGTTATTTTTATTTGGTTTATTATTTTCAGGACTTTAACAAGTAATATGGTGGTTGGTGTATCAAAGGGATTTGAGAAAAAACTTCAACTAATCGGTGTTGGATATCGTGCAACCGTAGAAGGGAAAGAGTTAATTCTAAGTCTTGGATTTTCTCATCCGGTCAAAATGACAATCCCGGATGACCTAAAAGTCAAAGTTGAAGAAAACACGCGAATTACTGTGAGTGGATACAACAAGTCAAACATCGGTCAATTTGCGGCTACGATAAGGAAGTGGAGACCTCCGGAACCGTACAAGGGTAAGGGTGTGAAATATGCCGATGAGATCGTTAGAAGAAAGGAAGGGAAAGCAGGGAAAAAGAAGTAGTCTGTGTATTGATATCTGTTTCAGTCTCAGTTGTAATTTCCTTTTCGATACTTTTTTATTTTTGGGTATCAGAAGTTGTTTCTTGGCTTAAATTGTGGATTTTCTCTTTTTGGGTGGGTATCCGTGACACTTTGAGAATTCTAGTGCAATACTTCAAAATTAGAGCTGTTTAATAGTTGTTGATTGAGTTAAATCTAGTTTTTTATTAGATTCGAGTGTTTAATAGTTGTTGATTGAGTCAGATCTAGTTTTTTATTAGACTCGAGTGTTTAATAGTTGCTGATTGAGTAAGATCTAGTTTTTTATTAGACTCGAGTGTTTAATAGTTGTTGATTGAGCAACATCTAGTTTTTTATTAGACTCGAGACTCGGTAAGAGGCATATTAAAGACTTCTAGGTATCAAACAATTTAAATGCGTGGGTAAGACCCAAAAGGGGTATATCAAACAACCCTATAAATTGGTTTTAAGTTCTCATTCTTTATTAATATGAGAGGAGATGTTATAACTTTTTTTTTTTACTCAAATTCATTTTTTTAAGCTAAGCTAAATTCCAAAAGGTTAATTTTTGTACAAAGTATATTTCTTTTGGTTTACAAACATGTTCGATTCAAATCTTGAGCTACAATACACATATACATATGATTGGTAAGTGTTACCAAAAAATTTATTGATTGATTAAGAGACATGGAAAGTTTTTGTTTTTAAACGTATTAAAGACAAAAACCATAGGGTTGCCTCTAAATCAAGAAAAGATGTGTAATTCTTATTCTTTAAGCAAAAACAAATGCAGATTAGTCTTTTACACCTATATTTTAATCGGTCAAACTCTTTCTATACACATGCAACCACAAGTTTTCCCCAAGAAATGCATGAATTCTTTTTGGGTTTTCAAAACACAGTTAAAACACGATTTATAATGTGTTGATAAAATATCATAAACGATTCAAAACTAATAAGTAATCTTGAAAAGAAGTAA